ATAGGTGGAAAGTCTTAATACAGGACTCTAAGATGTTCTGTGACTGAATTTCTTCCCAATGGAAAACTGTTAAATAAAATGAGAAACACTAAATATATTTTACTTCTTGTCATACTGGTGTAAACTAGCCTCTTACATTGCAGCTTAATTTAACTTGTTATGCTTTGCTTGAGTTCTAAATGACACTGCAACTTTTGAAATGAACCAACAATAGAAATAAAACCAGAGATAGATCCTAATCATATTACACATTATCTGTTTTACAGTAAAGCATAGAGAGATCAAAGCATTATGCACTTGATCCTCTACAATGTACACATTAAAAGACAGCTGGAGAACTACTCATGTTAATGAAACAGGTTTTCAAATCTCAGGTATTAATGTTACATGATTTTCAATCACTGAGTTTTATCTAAGCATTTGGTAGTAAAGGAATGGGTCAATGGCATCATGTTGACTAAGATCTAGTAAAGGGCACAAAAGGAGTTGTATCCCTACCTTAGTCTTTAACTATGGCTTTACTTTAGATAGACTACATTGTATCATACTAGAAAACATCTACTGCAACTGTTTGAAATGTAGTTCACCTTCACATAAGAGGACACCTATAACGTTAATGAACAACTTTTGAGCACAAACTGATCAGTTGCCTCACTTTTCCATATAAACTTTCAGAAAAAAAACGTGGGTTTGAATTTGCAGAGATCAAAAATTAGGGACAAACAGAGTGGTACTTCAGCTGAATACAAGGCCTAATGTCCCAGCACCAATTCTGGAGCTTAAACTCAGCTTCAGAAGTGGGAGAAAAAATAGCCAGAGAACAGGCCATAAGGCAGATCCTTGTTAACTTTCATTTTAGTGCTGGCACAGAGAAAGCACCATAGTTTCTATCAATTACAAATATTTTCATCCTTCCCTTGAAATGAAGCTATTCCAATATAGCACTAGGTGGACTAGACACCTTCTGCATGTCTCTGAGTCCACCATTCTATCTCTTAGAAATATAAGTGGAGACACCAATTTCAATCATTACTACACCTGAAAGTTAACCAAATTTGCTGTGATATTTTATTTGCATCCTACAGAGAGGATGTATAAAAATAAGATATGACAGTCTCATTTTTTCTTAGGAAGAACCGGATTCAAAAATCATGAGTAAGATGTGCAAGTAACATCATTCCCATGGAGCATTTGATCATGTAGTATTAAAAAGAATGGATCTGAAAATGCTAACAACTCTTTTACTGAAATGTTTCATTGTATTTAATATCGCAGATGCAGAGAGAAGGAATGTGATCCCATGAAAAAGAAAAGAGAAGCTGTAGAAAGAAGTGTCAGCATTTTCAGATCAAATGCAATGTCAGAATCTTTTATCTTTTCTGTTAAAAAAATACATAAATCAATAAATTTTTCTAATATATTTAACACTTCTGCTTATGCGGTCAACTGTACACTGATTTGAGCATGAACAGTTACTCAAATCTGGACATGTTACTCCAAAACAATCTTAAAAAATACTCTCCCATGTCAGCTGTGTAGGTCTATTGAGTAAAGGAGGTGAAATACAATTTGAAGAGGAATTATTTCTTTGAATATTTAGTAATACAGCTAAATCAGTTCATCACAAACATTTGGAAATTATTTTTGCAAGTCCCAATGTTTTGACACATTTTAGAATAGTTTCTGAAAAGAATCAGCACAAGATAATGGAAGTTAACATGGCAAGAGGATTAATCAATGAAGTAACCACTTAGGGGTGTAAGGATAATGTGATCCATGACATCTAAGAGATTTGAGACTTTCAGCCAAAAATGCAGATATAGGGACCAACTTTTGATGGTGCCTTAAAGCTCAGTCAACGGGGTTAAATTTAACTGTAAATCAGCTTCAACCTAATTTGTGATGGCCTTACAAAGGGAATCATCAGTAGTGACCGAACTGGGATCTCTGAGAGGTCTTAGTACTTCCCTGAATATGCAAGAAATGTCAACCTGTGTACATGGAACCACAGCATATCAACTGCTGATATGAATTGATTTTTCAATGGTAAGCAATGTAATGATTCATAAAGCATATTTTTTTCTCATCAACAGAATCACTGAACAAGCTTATGTGTGTTACCCAGCCGAATTTACCATACTATTTTACAATTACTTTTATTACGCACCAGTTAGATTCATTAAAATTTTTCATTTTTACATCTTCATCCTGGACTTCGATAATAACTGTTAGAGGCAATAACATTTCCCTTATATTTTCACTGCATGTATTTCTGTATATATAAGTATCTCATAGTCATCTTATTTTCCTTATTAAATAATGCTAAGGTAAATTCTACAGACGTATATGTCAATTAAGTTGCCAGAGGTATAACTCATGACTGAAATTGACCAATTCTCTCCTTCAACACTTCCAATTTTGTTTAGTTGTGTAACTTTTATTTAAAAATTAGTAACCAGTTGCACTTTTAAAATGTTCAGGGAAGACAGCATCTTTTCTTGCTTTTGTTTACCGCTTAGGGAAACTGATGTGCCTTTTCTTTCTTTGTGTTGAAATTACTTCCTCAAATATAACTGCTCCAACAGAGAGAATACTTATTATTTTTCAGAAAAAAAATCATAGAAAACTGTGTTTGAAGGAATCTTAAATGGCCATTTAGCCTATTCCCCTGCCCCATGGCACTATCAACATCACTTACACCATCCTCAGGTAGGTGTTTTTCTACGCTGTTCTTAAAAACCACCAGTAATGGAAATTCAATAATCTTCTTGGACAACCTATATGAGTATTTCACCATCCTTGCAAAAAGAAATTTTCTCCCCAATGTCTAACCTGAACTTCATTCCCAGTTTTAAACTGAATTATGTCTTATGCTCTTGCCAGAGAATATGGAGACCATCCCAATACCACCTTCTTTACAGGGACTGTTTGATCCCATGTGGGATTATGGGATCCATCCTCTTACTGAAAGACTGTGTTTCTCTACACCCCAGGCTAAAACACTAGAAAAGGTTAATTCACCAAAGTAATACAACTGTAAATAAATATATTAATATATTCACAAAACATCGTTCACACTTTCATTGTTCCTAAGACAAGGAACACGCCAGAGGACATTCTTGCAAATCAGTCTTTTTGTGTCTCTGGGAACAGCAATCACCAAGAAAATCTGTATTTTTTTGTTGTAGGTAGAATCAGTCTAATTTGTTATGGTGAAATCATGTTTAGTCAGTAGAGAAAAGCTGACGGATTCACTAAACCTGCCTATGTGAGAAAAAGAATCCCTCAAGGAAAGCTCCAGTGCTGAAGGATTTTCACTGCATAGTCCTGTGTTGTGCCTAGCCTGTGGATAAATGCAGACCTTAGATGGCACTTGATTTCTCTCCATTTTCACAGGCAAAGTAGCTACATAGGCAGGTGCAAACTCACTAAAAAAAAAAAATCAGTGTCAGACAGAATTTTCTGGGGTTTTTTGATAAGTCAAGTGGCCATCATTTACCATAAGGAGGAAAATAAAAAAAGTGAAGTAATTCATTCCAACCTCCTGCTCAAAAGTCACTCAGAAGTCCCTTAAACTGTATTTATCCCATAATATATAACAATTTGGGAAGACTAAGCCTAAGCAAAAATTCTTCCTGCTTACTTCTTGACATTTCATCAAAAAGACCTGTACAAAGAAGACTCCTCCTAAAGTGTAAATACCTGAAGGAAAGTCAGAGCATCCTCTATCTACCTGTGCACCTGCAAAGGAAAACGAAAATGTCTGAAGCCCCACCTTTTAAGAACCTTGTGAAACAATCTGGGAACTGAGCCAAAACCTACTCTCTCACTATATAAGACTCAGGAGCAGACAGGTATTTCCTCAGAGGCAGGTTGTTCGGTAGCTTCTACCGGACTTCCAGAAGATGGGCACAGGTGGTGGGATGCGAATACCACTATGGATATCAATACTAGCTCTTGTCTTCATAAAGATCAAAGGTAGGAAGATTCACTTGCTTGGCGTTTTTACTGTTCTAAAGAATTTATAACTTGCTTTGGAGTTTGAAACATTTTTTTCTTGGCTTTGTAAAGCTAATGAACCTGTTACCTTTATGCAAGATTCTCTTTTCTATTACAAATACTTTCCTTCCTAAGAGGAAATTAACTGTCTTGAAAATTTATGTTGTAATAGTCCATGCTCTCATCCTATCTTCTCCAGTTGAAAACTGGAATAGCTCCACTGAATTCAATGGAACTCACTCAGAACTCACATTTGTACCAAAATGTCTCAAGATTTGCGTTTAGCTTTTGATGTCTACTTAAGATGGTACAGCATTTCTAAATGCACAGAAGTGCAGAAGTGGCTTTAGGAAGGAATAAATCAGTGGAGTCTGTCTGCATTCATTATTAAAGATTTTGTTTCTTTTATCAGCTGATGATACAGTATTGAAAAAAGGAGGGATTTTGCTTGAAAAACATTGGACAACAGATTTTAAAAGTTCATCTATTCTTGCACGTGAGGTTGCATAAAAGCTTAGAGCACAGGGCTGGTTTTTGATGGGGTGAATAAAATGGAGTTGTCTTAAATATTCTAAGAGGGTGCTTAATACTCACAGATGAGTGGCAATTTTTTTATTGTATACTTCACCTGTTAATTTCCCTTAAAGTTTAAGGTAACAACAACGCTAGTTTTTAGAGCATTTTGATCTCAGACACAGATCCTATTGTATTGTTTTACTTTTTCCTACTCCCAGGTAATTACACACTAACTTACGTTAAAAAGCAATAGCGTCAAAGAATAGCCCATCGAAAGACTAGCTGTAGCATTACCACACTGTGCAACGGAAACAGGAACCTGCCGTGCATACGGCATGAGGCAGAGTGTTGGAGCCATACAGCGCATGGAGACAGAAGCAAAAAGCTCTCTGAAGCTAGGCAGAGGAGAAGAGGAGCCCAGAAGCATTTTGGTTTATACTTAAAAATGGGCACAGATCCCCATCTGCAGATCCCCAGCTGGTGCAATGAGGAAAGGACTTAGGGAGGTCCCTGCAGCTCTGATTCCAGCACTAGCCCCTCCAGCGGTGCTGCCCACAGGCTGCCCTCATGGTGGCATGCAGCAGAGGGCGAGCCTCTTTTTGGGTTTCTCTGGCCAGCACAGCCTCCTCTGCAACCTGCCCTCTGATGAACTCTCACTAAGTAAGTGGTGCATTAAAAGCCACTCTGGCCCCTACAGATTTTGTGTGTATTCCTATTCTGATGCTGCAGTGGAATGGAATGAAAAATGGTTTCTTTGCTGGAAACAAAAAGTTTTGCTGTGAGGCAAAATCAACAGTCACAAACGTATCTATTGGAAAGACCTATTTCTTTCTGTGTGGCTTATTACAAAAGTACTTGAAAGCAAAATACCGAGTAACTTTGGCTTTCGGTAAGAGAGGACAGAGATCAGTTCTCTAACTCTAAAATTTCTTCATGTACAAAAGGGACCTATTTTAAAAGCCCCTTGGCTAGACAAAGGGTTTTACTGATGCTTAAAGCACATAGTGATCATAAAAACTAAGAAAATTAAGTCCTTTATCTGAAAAGCTTACAAGGGCATCCAGGGGTACTGTGACAGTAACAGAATAAGGATCTGCTCAGATTATCACAGGCATGTTTTTGATGGCTTCTCTGAAGTAATTTATTAGGAAAAAAAAAAAAGCTGAAGGAGTTGCTATATGGCCATCACGGTTGCATGTAGCACAGGTCCTGATGCAAATCTGACCTCCTGTACATGAACATAGCTTTGCTGATTTTTGATATATGGACTGCTGCATGCTTAAACAGATATAACGGAGAAATGATGAGGGAACTCAAGAAAATTAGACATTAACACATTTTCCTCATCCACTCTTCTTGATGCAGTTCAAGCCCAGGCTGGTGAACAACAAACAAAAACAAACTATGTTAATCAACCCATCCTGCAGCGACAAAAAGGTAAGTACTTTTATGTTGATCTATTTCTAAGATTTTATCCCAAATCTAACTGATAAATAATAAGGCTACTAGAATCTTCTTATTTCTAGCTAGAACATACTTTCCCTTCTCCTATGCACCCAAACCCCCATCCCCTCCTCCC